AGTCCTATATTCTCAGACATCCATTAAAGCTTTGTTATTTACCTGTTTACTGCATTTTGGATAAATGTATTGTAAACCAGGCAAATTTCCAGTTCCTCAAAAAATCAATATTTAAAAGTAGTCTGGTGGGGACAGGTCTCTGTAGAAGCCAAGTTACTCTGGGAAAATGCCCAGCAGTCTCAGTAGTTTTTGAGTTTTATCCAAGCTCCCAAAACAGCCTGGTGATACACAAGATGCCCTGACTGGTCCCCATCTCACTTCAGATGTCCTGAACAACAGCCACCCTGACCCTGGGTGATTTCTCAGACCCGTCCTAAATAGCTGCAAATGAGCTGCCTTGTGAAGGCTTTTAGATAATTAAAAAAATAATCCAGTGAGTGATTAAGTGTGGCATTTACATTTGTATTTTAGTACAATACACGGAAGCTCAGTATATTACAAGTACAAGAATTTCACCTTTGTTTGAAACATGCACATACATGCATATGGAGCATTCACATTATCATCACATGTTGGACAGGCAAGCCTAAGCCTTATTTCACGTTCTCCTGCCAGTCTGCTGAGTGGCAGTCATCCCTCATGTGTACTTCTACCACTTCTTTTTTTCAGTATGTGTATTTTATTCCTAGGGGGAAGGAAGCAAAACTGAAACCTGCTTTTCTCCCATTCTGTGCCTATTGCGTGACTGTGACCATTACTCACGCTGTTCAAGGGTGGCAGGTTCAGCTGTGATTGGCACATGTTCCACCAGTAGAGTGCACACCAGGTAAACCTACCGGGTACCAGGCATCAATGGAAATGTTCAGCTGGGTACATTCTCCTGTAGAAGCACATATCCAGCCCTGCCTAGTGCTACTGTGTGCCCTGCAGAGATGTCTCCCGGGTGCAAGCATGCAAGGGGCTGCTGCTCTCCCCTTCTGCCAGCTCCCACAGCCCCAGGCAGATCCATGAGCAGCTCCTGCCATAGGCTTCTCCTCCACTACCACATGCCTTCAACCTCCTCCGGCAGAACCAGTCCCACTCATGAGGTCCTGCATGTTTTACCTCCTTTTCTCAGGTCAGTCATGATCACACAGGCTTTCTGAGCACTGACCAGTCAAAAACATAGTCTATAAAGAACACCTCATTATCCTATTTGTCCTCCACCATAGCTCACTTTTCTCCAAAAATACATTTTTTTCTCTTTTTTCCTCTTCCATTTTACTCCTTTCTTCTTTTTTCCCCTTTTGCTTCATTCTCATCATTAACTTTAGGTATCAAGCATGGATGAGGAAAAAGTCTCCTTGCATGAGCTTCTGGTGAGACCTTATGCTTTTTGATACTATCTCTGCTACCCTCTCCATCCTCTGAGGGCAGGGTTGCTGCAGGTCAGGGGATATAACACAGACATTATTTTACTTTCCTAGAAAGATTCTCATTTTGGTGCAAACTTCTTCTCTGCATCTGGCTTCACTAGAACATCACATTCCTCCATTTCTTTTGGTATCCACAGTCATTTATATTACCTTCCAAAAAGTAATTATTTGGAACCAGTTAAGCCTGTATATGAATTCTGCCTTTGTTTAAAACACATTGTACATATGTATATATTTAGACTGTCATTAAATATTTAAGAGGCTGTCTTCAAACTTCAGCAGCAGCAGCTTTTATTCCCTTAACCCTTTGTGAAATGGAAAGCTCGAGGCTGAAATCTTATTGTGGAGGAATTCAGAAAGCCCAGCTGCCTTAGTGCTGGGTGACAAAGGCCACCTCTGACAACCAAGTACACTGTAAAGAAAACCAGAGGTTTTCTTTGTTTTCTTTTATATCCTGTTTGCCAGCGGTCTAATCATGATAATGTAATTCATTTTAGTCTGCCTCAGCTTTATCTGCTGAGATGCATAACTAGGATGCAAATTAATTAGCTGTGACATACAGATGGATCTTTCAATACAATTCACAGAGACAGTCAAATACACACATGCCCATCCATGCTTTCCCCAAACAAAGACACACACTCTACACATTTTTCCAGAGGTCAGGAAGTCACCTTGCTTGGCCTTTTCAATCACCTAGAGAGGAAACACCACATCCAGCAGACAGGTGGACCTCATGTGAACTCAATATCAAATGTTACACTCTAGATGAAACCCCATCACAAATTAATTTGATTTGTGCAGCCCCACACCCAACAGATCATAACACTACTACCCTGCTAACACAAGGTCAGCACGTTTTAAAATCTGGTCACCTAATTTACCTGGCTTGGCAAGGCCTCTAACCTAGACCAAATCATTCATACATCACCCTGGCAAGCACTGGTATCTCAACACCAGCTCTCCATGGCCAGGGCACCTACCTGTCTTTCACATGAAGTGGTGTAAGTATCACAGCAGAGGATAGAAAAATCAGAAAAGCACAATATGCAACTGCCAATTGTATACAGATATGCCAACAGACGTATCCTGGAGAGTATGTTTTTCCTTTTTTTTGATTAAAACCTTGAAGATGCATTGTTAAATCCAAGCCCCAAATGCCTCACAAGAGCCACTCCATGTGCAGTTTTCAAGGCCCAGATATATTTAGAGACACTTCTTTCCAAGCACTACAGCCTCACTGATGATCGGATGCTGCTTTATGTGGGATGAAAACTGGAGTTCCTTCCACAGCTTTCACATCTGAGTTACACATCAGCACAGAAGCATTTCAACTGGACAGCTGTGTCATGCTACCTTGGGGATGTGACCCTAGCAGACTTTATGAAGGGAGAGGAGCCCCAGGCACGGTCCCTGCGGGCACAGAGGAGGCAGCAGAAGACACAGGGCTGGCAGGACACAGTGCTGGCAGAGCAGCAGATGGCACACTCGGCTGTGCATCGGCACCGAGGCACCAGGGGAAGGGGCAGCTGCACACCCCGCCAGGTGCCCTCGCTCCCCGTAAGATGCGGGGTCAAAGAGCTGCAGCATCTGCTGCAGTCCACTAGAGCAAACCCCTCCACCTCAGCAGCCTGACCACAGACTGAGCTTGCCTCAGTTCTTGGCGTAATCTTATTTTCTTGACAGCATCAGTTTTTAGTTCCTGTCTTTTAACAGCAGCATTGCAACAAATGTTGAAGCCCCCTACCCCAGATCCAGCTGCATCCTAGCAGCGAGTGTGCTTCCTGTATGAACAGCGTGGCATAATGTGTACAGCTGGGTGCATGCTATCCTACCCCCGAGGGCTGCTATAGACAAATCTCACCACAATAAGTGGCAAAGACACTTAGGGGGAGCAGAACTCTCAGGGAGAGGTCTATCTTTTATTAGACCAAATGGTATAGCTGTAAAAAAATCAGACTCACACCTGTCAAACCACAGGCAGGTATGTTTGGTTTTATGACAACTTGACAGCACACACACTGTAGTATACAGCAAATAACCAGGATTTTCCCCCATCTGTAAATTAGCTCCAATTGCCCAGATCCAAAACCAAAAAACCAATACACCCTGAAAGCCTGCAACTGTCAGGTCTCCCTTCTTTCCCACAAAGCATATATTCCCTGAAGGAGATCACAAGCCAAAGGGACTCCCAGGTGATAAATAACATGAGCTTAGCTTAGTATCTCTACTGATCATTTGGCACTGATGCTGTATCACTTGCACATGTGCATTATTTCACCATTTGCCCATCAGTTTCCTGAAAATGAACGGGATTAAAAGTCTACTGAGTATTTGCACTGCTCTTTCCTCCCCCTCTGCAGCAGAATTACAGTAACCAAAAGGTGAGCAGAGTTCACGCAGGCTTCTCGACTTTGCAATGCTGACCTTCCCGGTCTCTTCCCAACCCCCGGGGATAGTTTCGGTGGAGAAACAGACAGCCAGTCGGAAATTTTCACCAGTATTAATGCCAGCGTAGTTTCTTCCCAAATGCTCTCCAGAAGTATTTTTCCACCCACGTTCCCCTGTGCACCACAAAACCCTCCAGCCGCTGGCAGCTCTGGGTGCAGCTCCACTGCACATCACACACAGCTGTACGGCTGGTCTGTTTTAATTCAGCGTGTAATCCGTACTACCCAGGAAATATTCTCATGTGAAAAACTTCATATACAGGAACCTATTCTGCAGCAAACATAGCGGTGGTCGGCATTTAAATAAACTAATCAGCTGCAAAGGGCTTAGTCAGCATCGCAATCCTGGAGGTAATTCCCAGAAGCGATTTTCCCAGCAGCTATACATACAAACCTAAAAAGCAGACTGGAAGACAAGGGCAGCAGCACAGCGAGACAAAATTTGGCTTCACAGTGACATTACCAACAAATAAAAGTCGAGGAAAGGTAAGCAACCAGGCATTCACAGAAAGCACACACTGAGCTCGCATCACTGGTGTATCCTCTCACATGTGAAAACCCGAAACTCAGACACAGGACACAAACACAGCCAACACTCCTTCTTTCACTGATACTGTGCTGGTTTGAACTGAGAGGAAAAACACGGCAAAACAAGTTACAGACTTGTCTGTGGAGATACACAGACACAGGTCCCACGCCAGGCAGTGCTTTTTGGAGAGCGCATCCCAGACATCACCCTCAGCAACCAACCCATTCTGGGAGCCTGGCTCACATGCGACTTGGAGAGACCTGAGGACTCGTACAAACTTTGTCTCAGGGCAGGGAAGGTACAGGGCATCTGGCCTAAGAGGCACTAGGGGACAAAAAGCAGTGCCAAATGCCAGCGCATCCTCCAAGAGCAGCTCGGCCGCTGGCAAGGTTTGGAAAGCCATCAGGCTGCGCATGCAGGTCACCGTCCCCGGGCAGGACATCGCATCGCCCTTCAGTGCTGCCGCGCCAGCTCCCCGGCCGAGGCAGCACAGAGCCGCCTCACGGGTGCCGGGAGAAGGCACCGGCTCGCCCAAAGCAGCGAGGAACGCCTTCCTCCGGCCGCCGCCAGCGCACCGGCACACATCTGCTCCCATCTGCCCGGCGGCCGCGGCACGCCGGCATGCCCTGCGGACACAAGCACGGGGAAGGGGCAACGATCACTTACTTTTCGTATTCGGCGTTGTCTCGATCGCAGCGCGAATCCTTGTGCTTTTGCCAGTCTTTGCCATGCTTGCAGGTGGTCAGGAGGACAACATCCTCTCCGTTATGGACGTGATATAAGGCATTCCTGGTGTCTGACCCTATCCCCGTCAGGTACCTTTTCCCCTTGAATACCAACATGTACTTCCTGAGAGGAGGGATGGTGTTAAACCTCAAAAATCCCTTCTCCCCTCCTGTCCTAGGATGATCCTTAGAAAAGAGCGGGATAGAAACGTCAAAGTTGGGTCTGAAGTTTTCAGTACTGATGCTGGCTTTGGCCAGCATAGCCTGGCCAATGTCGAACCCCACATCCTCAGTGTAGTCGGGCCAGGTGCCGGAGTATAAATTAAAAATTAGGTGGTTTCTGCCGTTGTTCCACAGGTGGAGGCTCTGCACCTTGGAGCGGAGGTTGTGCACATACTGGGGCGAGAGCTGGTCTCGGTCCAGCGTGTCCAGGCTGAGGACGAAAAGGCAGGCCTGCCCGGGGTCCGAGGTGTAGAACCGGGAGCCCTCGATAGCGGCCAGGACGTTTTGGTAGCTCTCGGCGATCTTCTCCCCCTTCTGCTGCGGGTACACGTAGACCTTGAAGCCGTTTTTCCGGCACTGGGCGAAGTCGAAGCAGGACTCCATGCGGCAGCGG